TTGGGAATTGACTTTCTGTTATTGATGTTGTTGATGGGGACAAGTGGCAAGAAGCTGCACTGCAACCCTGAAGAAATGAGGTTCGAGGCCACCAGCTGTTCCACAGGAGGAGGATGGGCAACCTCCTCCCTTGAGATTAACTGCTTCTGAAAACCCGCTGGCCAGGTCAGTTCCGACACACAACAACAACAAAGTTGGTAAAGATTAGATATGGCCATCCCCATGTGGCCCTTGCTCTTTTTACAGTATATGCCATGGCTGTATTCTTTCTCTATACCTAATTCAATCTGTATGCAGAACAAATAATTTGAAAAGCTGAACTTTATGAAGATGAGTGAAAGATCAGAGGTAGATTCATCAACGTGTACCATGGAAATGGCATAACCTTGCTTGCTGAAAGTGAGGAAAACTTGAGGCACTTGCTGCAGAAGATAAAAAATGGAAGCTTTTTTTAAAAAAACCAAATTTTTTATTTTATACTGGTTTACTTACAAAGTTTATATATGTTGTTTTTAACATCAGGGCTCTCCCATTTATTTTACCCACTTCCCCCATTACTCATCTATTTGTTCAACCCTGCCCCCCTTCACCCCTCTGTTCCTCCCCTCCCCGCCTTGGATCTTCCTATATGTTTTACTTACTAGTTATGTTTCTATTTCCACAATTATGGTCTTATACAATATTTGTCCTCATGGGACTGAGTTACTGTGTCATCTTCATCATGTAGGTTGTTGATGAGTCTCCCTCTGAAGTTTTAAATACAGATTATATCTCAACATCAAGAAAACAAAATTCCTCAGCACTGGGTTAATAGGCAATATCATGATAGATGAGGGAAAGCTTGAAATTGTCAATGATTTTGTCTTTCTTGGATCTACAATCACTGGTACCGTTGGTACCAGCAGTCAGGAGACTAGAGGCATATAGCATTGGGAAAGTCTGCTTTTCAGAGACTTCTTCGAAGTTCTGAAGACCTAGGATGTCAGTTTAATGACTAAGGTGAGCCTGATTCAAGCTATAGTCTTTCCAATCACTTGCTATGCATCCAAGAGTTAGATAATGAATAAGGAAGATAGAAGAAGAGTGGGTGCATTTGAGTTGTGGTGTTAGAGAAGAGAACTTAATATCTCATGGACTACAAAAAGAACAAGCAGATAGTGGAGATAGTGCAACCAGAGTGCTTCTTAGAGGCAAGATGGTGAAGCTTCATCTCACATATGTTGGGTTTGTTGTTTGGAAAGGAACATCATGCTTGGAAAGATGGAGGAACGTAAGTAAAAGAAAGACCTTCAACAAGATGGATTGATACAGTGTCTGTAGCAATGGGCTCAAGTGTGTCAGAGATGACTTGGGACAGAGAGTTCAGATGTATTGTTTATTGGGCTGCTATGAGTTGTACTTAACCTTATTTAACAACAATAATAACCTATCTCCATACCTTTTCAACCTACATGCAGAACAGATTATCCGGGAGGCTGGGCTCTATGAGGAGAAATGTGGGGTCAAGACTGGTGTACGATTTATCAACAATCTGCGTTATGCGGGTGACACAACCCTGCTTGCTGAAACTGAAGAGGACCTGAAGCGCCTGCTGCAGAGTGTCAAGGACTGCAGCCTACAATATGGATTGAGGCTCAATGTCAAGAAGACAAAGATTCTCACCACTGGACCAATTGGCAGCATCAGGATGGATGGTGAAGAGATTGAGATTGTACACAGCTTTAGTTTGCTTGGCTCCATAGTCAACAGTCTTGGCACCAGAAGCCAAGAAATTAAAAGACGCATTGCAATGGGAAAGTCTGCTGTTAGGGACCTCTCCAAAGTGCTGAAGAGCAATGGTGTCTCTTTGGAGACTAAGGTGTGTCTGATACAGGCCATGGTCTTTGCAATCACCTGTTATGCATCAGAGAGTTGGACAATGACCAAAGAGGATAGAATTGATGCCTTTGAGCTGTGGTGCTGGAGAAGAGTATTGAGAATACCATGGACTGCTAGGAAAACAAACAGATTTGTCCTGGAAAGGGTTAAACCGGGTGGCTCCTTGGAGGCAAGGATTCTGAGGCTCCGTCTAACATACTTTGGACATGCTGTGAGGAGAGACCGGTCCTTAGAGAGGGACATCATGCTTGGGAGGGTGAAGGGACAGTGCAGGAGAGGAAGGCCCTCTATGAGGTGGATTGATTCAGTGATTGGGATAATTGGGATAGGAGTGTCAGAGACAGTGTGATTGGCACAGGACAGAGCGGAGTTTAGGGCTATTGTACATAGGGTCGCTATGAGTCGCAGGTGACTCAAAGGCACATAACAACAAACAACAACAATAACAACCAAAGAAGTATTGTCCAGACCTTCATCACTTAACTTGGGTCTCCTATCAGACTTTTAATGGCACAGCAACTGTGTAGAAGAAAGATAAGCAGTACCCTGCTGTGTAATTTATTGTTTCTGAAAACCCACTGAAGTGTTTGTTGGTTGGTTCTAACTACACAACAGTGACTGACCGACTTCCCTAAAAACAAATCCAGGGGCAAAGATTTCAATGCAAATAGTAATAGATTTGAGCAATGACTCTAGTAAGATCTGAGGGAATGGGAAGAGTGAGGCAAGAAAGAGAGGCAAGACAAAAAACCAAGGTGTTAGTGAACAGGTTCTCCTGAGAGCACTTGTGACGTGGCCTTCCTGGGACTCAATCCTTCTGTGACTCTCTGCATTCAAATGCTTACCCCTGAGCTATAACCCCCTTCTGGAGCCCTTTGAAAAACTAACATCTAAGAGTTGTCCCTAGGGAAATATCACAATCATCCTTCATTGTTGAGGGCTGCTGCTGGGGCATGCACTCCCTGACCTGAACAAGCACGTCCCTTTGCCAGAGAGTATCCCGGGGCCACAAAAAGCAGGAAGTCATCTGTACAATCTGCAAGTGGCCCCAGGCGAGGCCAAGAGCATATGGGTGTGGCACTGATTACCTGGTGTTGCTAAGTATGTTATAGGTTTACTCTTCTCTCAGAAACATGTGCTAAACAGCACCACTGTTTGCTCAGTATCTACTTTTTTAAAAAGGAAATGTTTCCTCTTTATCCATAAATGCCTGCTTAAAACTATAGTTAGAAATTCCAGATATTTGAAATATTCTACAAATATCTGCAATCATGATTTCCCATGCATGTCTATGCAGTGCACCTTCCAGGTTATAAAGCTAAGTACCTTTTGCATTGATGATCTCAATTAATCCTTATGGTAAACCAGAGATATGAATGCTAGTCCTCCTAAGAAATCCCAGAGCTTTAGTCTCTTTGAATTCTGATATTGGCAATATCACAGATTGCTAAAAGAATTAACAAGTTTATCTTGGGAGAAATGTAGCCAGAATGTTCCTTAGTGATGGAGATGGTAAGACTTTAGTTCACATACTGTGGGCATATTATCAAGAATGGTCAGTCAGTCCCTGGAGAAAGACACCAGGTAAATCAGAGGGTCAGCAAAAGAGAGGCAGACCCACAACATGATAAACTGATACAGTGTTTGAGACAACAGAGGTTGTAAGGATGGCACAGAATAGGCAGCATTTCATTCTGCTGTACATAGAGTCACTATGAGAGAGTTGTGACTTGGTGACCCTTGGTACCAGCAGTCAGGAAATAAGGAGACACATTACACTGGGAAAATCTGCAGTTAGGGACCTCTCCAAATTATTGAGGAGTAAAAAATGTCAGTTTGAGGACTAAGGTGTGTCTTCTTCAAGCCATAGTCTTTCCAATCACTTGTTACGCATCTGAGAGCTAGACAATAAATAAGGATGACAGAAAAATTGACACCTCTGAGCTACAGTGTTGGAGAAGGGCACTGAACATCCCATGGATGGCCAAGAGAACAAATAGATATGTCTAGCACCTCACCCCACCCCCACCTTGTTGGGTACCATTGAATTGGATACAACTGGTACAGGAGGAGATTGCCCCACCTTCTCCAGCAGAGCACCTGGGAGATTTGAACTACACACCTTCAAGATTACTGTGCAGCTTCTTGCCACTAGGTCACCAGAGCTCCCTTCAAACAGTTATGTCTTGGAGAAGGTGTAGCCAGAGTGTTCTTTGAAGGCAAGAGTGATAAGGCTTTACCTCACATACTTTGGGAGTGTTGCTAGGAGGGGCTATTCCTTAGAGAAGGATATGATGCTGGAAAGGGTGGAGGGCCAGTGAAGGAGAGGAAGACCCTCAACTAGGTGCATT